TGGTTAAGTACTGAGCTGAACTCAAGAAAGCCAGTAACAGAGAGGGGGGACTGATGATCAAAGGGATTAAGACTGGGCTGGTTTAACCCCCAGAAACAGCTGACCAGACAAAGGTTAACTCTTGAATCCCAGGCATCAGCCTAGGAATCCAGCTTGGGACTGATCAAGACCCCCTGAATCTGGGTGTCAGTGAGGAGGCCTACGGAATCTATTGAGCCTTGGGCAGCAGATCAGTACCCATCCCAAGTATACACACGGACTTTGGACTCCCATAGAACAATGTGAGGTGCACTCTCACCCTGAACTCTTGGGGAAGGGTCTAGGCCCTGCCCTATATGAAATGACAGACTATGCACACCCCCATGGAGGGCCTCACCCTCCCTGGGGGAATGAGGGGATAACTGGGGGGGGTTGGGGGGAGGGCACGGGAGGAGGGGAGGGAAAGGGAGAGGGACCTGGAATTGACTTGTGAAGCATCCTTGTTTCTTATCTAAATTTAAACTGGAAAATAAAATTTAAAAAAACGACAAAAAAAAGAAACCCTAGCTCTTCGAGGATCAGGGAGGTGTAACAGGAAAAAAATAAAAGACCCACAACTGATGTCATGCTGAAGATCAGAAAAGCAAGCTAGCTGGTCGCTGGTCCCTAGGTGTAGGGAGATATCTTATGTACCCATAGCGCTGACCATGCCCATTTATGCGTGGTCACAGGTACACAGAACATATGGGGGATAAAAGACCTAGGGGCAGCAGACGCCTTCTCTTTGGGTTCCAGGCTTTCTTGGCTTCTCACAGTACCCTAGACTCCAGTACACCTCCCCCACCTGCTGGTCAAGCATAGTTACTGCAAGTAAAAATCCAGTCCTCAATCCGAGATAGTTGGAAAAAAAGCTTTGGATTCTATCAAAATTGATCAAGATTCTATCTGAACAGGAGAAACCTCCGGAGAAGGAAAGATGACAACCAAAGAAGAATCTAATGTTTGGGATTAATGTCTAATTCTCTTAGCTTTGTCCTTATACCATCTGTTTCTCTTTACTTCCTAATATTCTCTTGGTCCCAATTCATTTAAACCAATGCTGGCTTTGGAATTAGATATGGCTCTTTTCCTCTAAATCCAAGCATGTTGTTATTATAAAATTCACAGTTTCTCTATTATATCAAGGAACTAATTGATATAAGGCAGAAGAAAACAAAATCTAGGGACTATCATCTGGTTATACTTGGTTCTTTCTCTGAAAACCTAATTTCCCACATATTTACTATCTTCCTTATTGTTGCCTTTCCTAGTGTGGATACATATAAAACTTGAAATTTCTTTGTTGACACTAATGTTTGAGTTTTCCACAAAGAACAAGGAATTTCTTAACAGCAATCTTCAAAAACTTCGGAAAGACAATGGGACCCCACATCATCGACTCCACCTGAACCTACTTAATGCATCTGAACTGACAAGTACCACCCTGAAACTGATTTGGGACTACATCACTCTACACAACTCCAGACTAAATTAACTGATGTGGTGCACCTTCTACACTCTGGCCAGAGCCTCAGACAAGAACTTCAATCAAGATAAAAAATTCGATCAAGTACTTCAGTCAAGCATCTCCCACCAGAGACTGAGTACAAATGTAGCTAGTCCACTTGAGACTTTCACTACACTAACATTTTCTTCCTACAGGATCCCATGATATTATTATTGTCCCACTTCAACGGGAAATAATTCTGAGAATACTACACCCCCTTTCCCTACCATTGATATTACACCTGTTAGATTTAGGTTTCAATTGTTTAGTGTTGGGATTGGAAGGAGGTGTTCAGAGTTGGGCATCTCTTTCAGATAAGTTTAGGGTTTAGATGACATAGATATGCTTAGGATAGGATATGGGCAGATTATAATTTGTTTATCATCTTCTATGCATATATGCTTTATATATGTTTGAGAACATTCAATTTTGTTTTAAGTCTAAATCTTTTCTTTAGACTACACGGGGCATTGTAGGGAGAGATCTTACCACTATCTCAAAATGAATGGGCTGATCCCACTGCCTCTCCTCAATGTGACTGGAAACTCCTGAGACTGAATGTCTTCCTATCCTCAATGTAGCCGGATAATGAATCCCTCCTACCCTCTATGTGGCCAAAGAATAAATGCCTCCTATCCTCAATGTTACTGGAGAATGAATACTTGATACTGAAAACTGAAGACCAAAGACCCTGCTCCTATCTTTTATACCACTCTAGTGCTGGGTTTAAAGGCATGTGATCCAGATGCTGAAATCATCTTTGTGTGATTGCACTGTATTTGATGTAGCTCTGTAGGACTAACAGAGATCGATGTACCTCTTAATCCCAAGTCCTAGGATGAAAGATGTGTACCACTAACTCCTAGCTTCTGCCTGCTGGGATTAAATGTTTGTACCACCACTGCCTGATCTCTACAGCTTGAGGCTGGCTTTGCTTTATGAATCCTCAGACAAGCTTTAATACATCATAAATGATATAACAACTGAAAGAGGGGATGTAAACATTGTAAGAGCCAGAGGCAGTGAATGACTCCAAGGAAATAGTGTCTCCCAGACACAAAAAGGTGTACATATCAGAGACTGTAGCAATACCCAGCACTGAGAAAAGAAAGTAGACACTAAATTCCACCTAGGCATGAAGCTACTTGCAATTGATACCTGATGGGAAAGGAAAATCAATTTTCTCAAAAGGAGTGATGCCAGGTATATCAACCACATTCCAGGGCATGTCCCATGCCCACAATTAGTGGGCCAACACAAAATGGGTCCTGTGGCACATTTTTTATTTACTTTTTTTTATTTTGCTATGTTTGGTCTTGTTAATTTTCTTTTTTAGTTTGTCTGTTTTAATTTTTGGTTTTTGTTCTTGAATTTGTTTCTGTTTGTTTCTTGAGAGACAGAGGGAGTGCAGAAATGGAGTTGTGTCTGTAGGAAGGTGGCATGGGTGTAAGGTATTGGGAGTTTGGGGAAAGAGACAGAATATGTGCAGAATATATCGTATGAAAATATTTTAAATATTTTTTTAAAAAACTGAGAAAATTCCCCACAGATATGCTCACAAGCCTATGTGATTAAGGCAACTTCTTAATTGAGGTTCTCTGTTCTAGTTTATGCCAAATTTTCAAAAACTACCTAGCACACAATGGAACACTGAAACTGCACTCTTGTCTAGTTATCCTATGACTTTAGAAAGTCATATGTGCATGTGAAAATCTGCAGCAAATGTTCAAAGCAATGCTATTCCCGATAGCAGAAAGCTAGGCCCTCTCCACACTGGCCAGTTCTACAAAGTGCAATGCTTTTAGAAATAAGCATGTAGAGCAGGACATTGGTGACACACGCCTTTAATCCCAGCACTCAGAAGGCAGAGGCAGATGGATCTCTGTGAGTTCAAGACCAACCTGGTCTACCAACCGAGTTCCAGGACAGCCTCCACAGCAATACAGAGAAATCCTGTCTCAAAAAGCCAAAAACAAAGGAAAAGAAGAGAAAGAAGCATGAAGTATTTATATGCAGCAAAACAAAATTGTGCTGGGTCAAGGTAAAGTTGATATAAAAGCTTACTCACTTTGACTTATGAAATATTTTGAAATGAAAAACAAAAATAGGAGAATGAATATTTTGGCTATTTTGGTAGTAGAGTTAAGAATAGTGGAAGAATTCATAGAGAGGGACAGATAAAGCTAGGAGAGCAGCATAAGGGGACTGTTAGGTGATGAAGCTGTTTTGTACCTTGACTGTGTTGGTGGATCCATGAATTTATGCACAGGATAGCAATGCATAATGTCAAGACAACCAAAGGCCATCTAAGTAAGGTCAATGGAGAGTATCAGTGTTCACATCTTTGTTAAACTATTGTGCTAGAGTTTTTCATAATGTTACCTTTGGAGAAGAAACATAAAGAACACATGAGCTCTATCTGTCTTTGTTTACAGTTGCTCATGAACTTGCAACTGTCTCAAAATGAACTGTTTATTCTTTAAAAGGCCTGGTTCTTCCACCAAGTTGCTACAGACTAGCAATATGATTTGAAAGGAGAAAAGAGCACTGAGATTATCCCCTTTTAGGGCAATCCAAATAATCTGGCCTATGTACTTTCACATAAATTGATCAATAATTTAAATCTGGCCTATGTACTTTCACATAAATTGATCAATAATTTAAGTAGCTTCAAATTAAATTTCGAAAACAGCCTGAATTGAATATTGCAATTTCTATGCATCATAGTTGAAGGGTTGAGTTGAAACAGAGAAGGACTGTGTTTGAATTTGAAGGAATGGCTAATGTTTCCAACTGCTGCTCAGTGATTAAGTTTATAATCCAAATGTGTTGATTATATAGACATAAAGGCAACAGTAAATGTGAGGACTGGTCAAAATCCAGACTGGAGTGCTCAGTATAACCTGGGGAATCCAGACTGGTGTGCTGTCTGTGTGCTTGTTTCCTGGTTTACCACTCTCTGACAACCTGTGTGGTTTCTGTATACAAGTTAGACCTCATGGGACACCAGGTATCTCTGTGCCCTGTGCTGACCAGAGAGAAAGGGGAAGAACAACTTACCCTTGCCATTCGAAGGCTGCGGCTGACAGCTGGTGTCTTCTGTTTTAGTACTGTCATTGGAGTATACAGCATAAGGAGAAGCCAGAAAGCTGAAGGTGATGGCAATAGAGAGAGAAAACAGTATACCACAGATAAAGTATAGAGTGGGGACCAGCCTCTACAACCCCCCATGTCGACTGAAAGGAAGGAACAATGACAGAAACCATTTCCAGTCCAGAGGCAGAAAGAAGATGTAGGCTTCGGATGAAAGTGTTTGCTGTACAGTTGTAGACTCTATAACACACAACATTTTCAGCATGGACACAGTAATAAAAGGAAAAGACAAAGGGAAAGAAAGCCTACAGCTGTAATCTGTAATGCAAGACAGTAGACAGTAACTGTGAAATGAAGGCATTAACTTTAATAAGTTTGTGTTTATCTGACTTTTTTATTTGAGAGGGACAGAAGCACAGTATTCTTGTAAAGTATAGTCCACATCCATAGGCACCATGTACAGTATCTTTCGATGTATATTTTCATGTTCCCACTAGGTGTCAGCATAGCACAAGAGAATTTGTGGTTCCTACACTAGGTGGTCCAAATCTACTGTGGCACCTAAGAGTGGTTGGCAGAAGGAGTAAATTAGACAAAAATCTTGCTTCCTCCCTGCCTATCTTCTCTTCCCGTGAATTTTTAAGGAAAATTTCTGCAAACTAAGATCCAGAGACTGTGGAAGATAGTTCGTGCTGTGGTGCAAGCCTACAATCCCAGCACTCAGGCTGCTCTGTTCAGGTCCTGTCTTACAGGCAATAATGCTGAGAGAACTGAGGGGATCCTGAGAATAGGCAGGTAGCAGTTCTGTGTGGGTGATTCCTTGACGGAACAGGAAAAACGAGCATGAGTTCTAACTCCCTGTGAGTGACTGTAGGGCCTCTCAAATTCTACTCACAGGAAGCCCACGGAGCTTCTACCCAACTGTGTCTCCCTGTGAGACAGTGAGCCAGAACACACTGTTTACCACATTCTTCCAATAACGGGGCTCATGCGAATAGCGTGTGGCTGGAACTCCAGGGGAGAGGAAATCCTGGTTGCTCACCTGCTCCCCTGTGCAGAGCCAGCATGTAATTTCTCCGAGCCCTGGCTGTAAGAAATAGAATGCGTTCTGCACCTTCTGTAGAACTTCCTCTTTTGTCCCACAGTTGAGCTGTGCCTGAGACAAAGCTCCAGAAGCAGTTTCTAGGGAAGGGAGTGAAACAGAGGGAGCCTGGCTTCCAAGCTGACTTGCTTCACAGAGAACTGGGAAGGGGCAGGAACCACAAGGTCTCCCCAGCTGCTTTGTAACCTTTGGTGGAAGCTCTCCCCAGGTGCTGTTCAAGGCTCCACTGGACTCTCTGAGTGGCATGGCTCTGGTCACCTGTGGTAATTCACCCAGAGAAGTGTTGTTATGTGCGCAAGTCCCCGCCTTGCACAGTAAACAGCATCTATCACGGTCTATTTCCTCACTGCACGCATCGCCAGGTGACATAGCCCAGTTAGCCAACAGTGAACAGCAGCTGTGTCTTCATCCGGGTAGCCACTGTCTGCCATTGGTGTTATGTTGTGTAGGCCTTTGTTCTACATCATCGGAATCTGCTCTGCTATTTACGGCTTGGCTTTTGTGTCTCCTCAGTCATGGGATGTAGTGCCAACCCGCTAAGGCTTTAAGTTCCCAGAAACGAAGACGGGTTAGTCATCAACATGACAGGGTGGTGGGGACCTCACCCTTGCCATCCCTGACATGGTCGGCAGCCCCACATGGGTTTTAGCTCTTTCGCATTCTTCCTGCCTTTTCCTTGCATCTTCTAGCCGACTCCACCAGTTGTCCTGGTAAAATGGAAACATTCTCCATGAGCACTGTACAGAATGTGAAGGCACAGGTTAGAATTCTGCATCCCCTGGAACTCTGTACCTTTCTCCGGAGATCTTTTTTAAGCTAGGACGTTTGCTTCGACATGAGATTTAAGGGGATTTGTTTTTAGAGACTGCATCAAGATTTTGTCAACGAGTACCGTACGGATCCACATGACAGCCACCCCCTAAACTGGACTTAATACTCACAGTGCAAGAAATGTCAGCAGGCAGGAGACAGGAGAACAAGCCCTGTGGGTGGTCAGAGCCTTTAAGATGCTGCATTCTCAGCGTTTATATATTTAATCTATCTTAAGTCATATTTTACTGCTTCTATATTGTACTACACTGTAAGATGATGGGGGAAGTTCTGTGTATATGGCAATAAAGCACTGTTGATCAATAGGAAAGCAAGATAGGTAGGACTAGGAGACTAGGAGCTTTCTGGGAACTGTAGTGAAGTGAGTTGTCACCGTGTGATCTCCCGGGAGAAACAAGCGCTCAGGAGTGTGTCCTCAAAGAGATAAGTCCTTACAAAATATATACTAGTAATTACAGGTTAATTATCAAGCCAGAGCTGGCAGATAAGAAACTAAGTAAATGACCAACAGCTTCATAATGAATAAAGCATCCTGTGTGTTATTTGGGGGCTGAAAGCAGCAACAGGATCCAGGCAGCCAGCAGTAAGACGATCACTTAAATGATAATTTTTTTCAAACATTTAAATGTCAACTTCTTACTGTCCAGGGTTGCTTGCTTTCTTCAGTCCCCTAGTGATAAATTACTGCTTAATATACTATACTTATTTAAATCTGAAAGCACTAATACATTTGACAATCTGACAAGATACCATGGAATAAATAAGTTAAATGGCATGGTTGTCAGCTACGAGTTATGAACCTGCTCAGATCTTACAAGAGTTTATGTTACTTATGTTATATGCTACAGTGATGTTATAGATGGTGGTTTAATAAGCAGGCAACATGTTTTCTCAGACTAATCAACATGAGCGGCATAATTTGATTATGGTGATGGTCTTTAATTACTCTACGCTGTTTCACTGTGCTTTGCAAAAGAGGAAAGGCAAACTGGTTTGGATGTGAAATGGAGGACACAGTCCTCAACAGAGGCTCCTGCAACCATTGCGAGGCTGGTGTGCCCTACAGAGCAGAGATAGCCACACTAGTTAACCACAGAGGCATGGCAGTGGTGGTGCACACCTTTAATCCCAGCACTTGGGAGGCAGAGGCAGGCAGATCTCTGTGAGTTCGAGACCACCCTGGGCTACAGAAGATTGATCCAGTCTAAAAGAGAAACAGAGTCAGTCAGTGTTGGCAACGCACACCTTCAATCCCAGCACTTAGGAGTCACATGTCTTTAATCCCAGCTCTAGGGAGGCAGAGACAGGAGTGACACAGCTGGACAGAGAGAGGACTATAAGGTGAAGAGACCGGAGCTCATTGCTTTCAACCTGAGGCGTCTTAGGGACAGGATCACCCCCTTTGGTCTGAGGATTCATTAGAGGTAAAAGTCTCTCTTGTGGCTGGCTCCTTTAAGTCTCTGGCCTTTTAGCATTTACCCTGATGTCTGACTCCAGGTATTAAGGCCTACTGGAACTCATGATATAGGAAGTAATGATGTTTTCTCCTACGGTGTTTTTGAAACCACGACACGCATATGGTGACCTGATTCAGGATACTGCACACCATGAAGCACTGTGGTGACATCATTTGCAGACTGTGTGGGATCATTGCTGGGCACCTTCCACTGCTCCATTCAGCGCCGTGGTCATTTAGGTAAACTGAACTAAGTTTTCCTTAGGTCGGGGTTCTTTGCTAACACCTGGCACAGCACACCCTAACTGAATCAAAATCATGCGGAAAAGAGGTCAGAGAGCTTCACAGCTTCGTTGGATACTGTTTTGTATTCATAAGGGAATCCTGTGGTTACTTTCAAAACATCCAAATAAAAGTCGAGGAATTTTTTTTGAACTGTAATGTGTTCATTCTGCCAACTTGACAGAATCTAGAATCATCTGAGCGAGAGGTCTCTGGCTGTGCCTGTGGGAAAGAATCTTGATTATGTTAATTGGAGTGGGAATATACATCCTGACTGTAGTTGGGATTATTCCCTCAGCAAGAGATCCTAGACTGTATATAAAGGGGAAAGCGAGACAGGCACTAATATGCACTCATCAGAATTACACCTTGCAAATGTTTATTTTCCCCATTCTGTGGGTCCTGTATCTACCCTGTTGGTATTTAAATTGTGAGGCATACTATTTGTTTTTAACTTTGACATAATCCCATTTGTCTACTCTTAGCTTCTGTGAACTATGCTTCTGGAATCATATCCAGAAATCCTTGTGCATTTGAATATCCTCAAGTGTCTCTTCTATGGTTTTCTCAGTGATTTATAAATTTGCTTTGTGAGTTTTCAATTCATTTTGAATTTCCTTGGAGAGATTATGGTTTCATTCTTCTTCACACTGATATACAATACCTCCAGCAAAATTTATTGAAGAAACAGTCTCAGTTTATTCACAGCCCCTGAGTTATCAATGATCCCGAGTCTCCATTGCTTTTCTGTTGTATTTGTTTATGAGTCTGTTTGAAGGGCTCGGGGAATTATCACAGAAGAGAGGTGGAAAGATTGCAAGAGCCAGAGGACTAGGGGGCCTGCTGTGAGATAGCATCTTCTAGATGTGATAGGGATGCTGCCCCATGAAATCTCAACAATGTGTTTCACTGAACAAAACCTGACAATGACTGCTTCAGTTGACAAGTCAATGGATAGGAAAAAAGTACTTTACAAGGCTCCACCCTTATGCTGGGAATCAAAGGCTGCTGCAAGAAAGAGAATGAATTTTCTCCAGAAATAACCCCCTTGATCAGTTTTCCAAAGCCTAGTGGTCAGCCGTAAACATTTGTACAAATGGGCAACACTAACTGGACTCAAAAGAGAGAGAGACAGAGAGACAGAGAGACAGAGAGACAGAGAGACAGAGACAGAGACAGAGACAGAGACAGAGAGACTGAGACAGAAAGACACACACACACACAGACATACAGAGAGACAGACAGATAGGCAGAGAGACAGACAGACAGAGAGGCAGAGAGACAGAGAGAATAATAATTATAGAAGAAGTAATTATCTTAGAAGTAGTCAGGGTAGGAAACACAGGAAGATTTAGAAAAGGAAGTAGAGGGACGGAAAAGATGGAAATACAGTGTACTCATGGATGAAACTTTCAGTTTTTAAATTAAAAACAGGATCAGTAAAGCTCATACTTTAGATAAATGAAACAATAGTAAACACTACATAATGTAGCTTCAGTATATAACAGGAGAACATTTCTAGTACAAATGTATCAATTAAAGATTGTACTTCTGCTATATATTGGTAAAATTTAAGTACATGAGATAGGGGAGAGAAAAGGAGAGTAAGGAGGGTAACAGGAGGGAAAGCTAAAGCTACAGGACATTTGAGGGGGAATATGGAGGCCTACTACAGTAGGCGCTTCTGAAAATATATACTAATAGGAAAGTAATATGAGTGGAATTAATGGGGGAGACAAAGCCCCAGCTGTACCTCTCTCACCACCAAATGAAACCTCTAGTGCCAGGAAAGGGTCATACCTAATTGAGGTGTGGGGCAAAGGATCCTCTGGAAAGCCCCAAACAGCTCAGGATATTACCAAGGCTATTGGTGTCTCTCCGCAACCTGATATTAAAGCCCTATAGCGGAGGACAACTCACATATAACTCATTGAACATGGAGAAGCTGAGCAGGTGCCTACCTAGAGCTTTCACTTCTACTGACCACTTTCCACAGCACAGACACTTACTCTGTATGCTACCAGAGGAAAAGAGCAAACAGAAACCCAGGTATGAGCCCTTTGATGTGCAATGGTCATCTGCATGCAAGTTGCACTGGCTAGTGCAATCATGATGCAAAAGTTGCTGCAGTAGCCGAGCACTATCTGTTTGGAATAAGGGCTGCTCCACAAGACAAAACCCATGCCTGACAATGAACAGCTGAGCCAGCACTGAGCCAGGCCAGAACAGTGTCCCGTGAGAAAACCAAACACTGCTGTTCTGCTAAAGAAGTACAGCAGTAAAAAGACTCCCAGCAACATTTTGCTATACTTGTGGATCGGTGCCTTCCTCGGCCGTCATCTAAGAAGTTTCTTCCTGCAGCTGATGGCAACAAGTACAGAGACCTACAACTGGAAAATGTGCAGAGAACGAGAGACCTTGACACACTCTTTCCTAAATAAAATGTCTCATCAAATCTCCCCCCTCAGGGTTCACGGAATTTTGTGGAAAAGGAGGCAGGAAGAGTTAAAAACCAGTGGGAATAAAGACAGCTAGGAAACAATGTCTTCTGGGTGCAACAGGGTTGATGCGCTTGTAAACTCACAGAGATTGAGCAGCATGCACAGGACCTGCACAGGTCCAAGACAAATGGGGTTCCAGTGCTGGGAGGAGAACGGGACACCGGGAGCATCACTAAACCAGAAGCGTTCTCCTATTAACAACTGCTGGCAAAGGTAAAATTAGTATTCTTCAACAGTCTCATTGGATATACAAATCACACTTAAAGGCATGTCCCACACCCAACACAAAACACACTCCATCATGTTTTTGGAAGGTTTTTTACCTGACAATGCTTTTTCTGGACATCTGTTAAACCTCACAGGTCTTTTACATACATCATCTTCCTGAATTTGTGTTTTCATGGGATCTCTCTCTCTCTCTCTCTCTCTCTCTCTCTGTGTCTGTCTCTGTGTGTGTGTGTGTATGTGTGTGTGTCTGTGTGTGTGTGTGTGTGAGAGAGAGAGAGAGAGAGAGAGAGAGAGAGAGAGAGGAAGAGGAAGAGAGTCTGATGAGTGTGGGGTTTTGGAGGGGTTTGGTTTGTTTATTTGCTTGTTTTTTAATTTACCTGCCAGTTTTATAAAGAGAGAAAGAAGTGTG